GTACTCGCATCTAAAGTTTATATATTTCTTTCTCCCAATGTTTAATAGACGCTTACTTTAGCAAAAATTTCCTTGATATCGAACTTCTCGATATTCAAACCTCGTTGTCAGAAATCGGAGGTACAACCATGGACAGAATAATTACATAATGTAGGCATCCCAACAGGCAATTTCGAAGACAAAAGTTGGGTATTATCGAATGAAGTTCCACTTAATTTTGCATCATGTAGAATGCCAACTAGAAAATTGATATACACGATTCCTGCACAGCCGTTATCTTCATTGCGTGTAATATTCGACTGGAATGTTGAAGACAAGAGGACCAAGTTCAGCATCCAGTGTGTTACCATGATAGAGCTAAACTATTAAAAAGACCATGACAAAAGCGCTTGAGTTACTTGTCGGAGACAATCAAACCGACCATGTTTCCTATGATGCCTTAACTATGTAGTGCTTGTGTGGTGATGTACTCTACGAGGGTGGTCCCAAAAGTACCCCACCCAACGAAGAAAACACAAATTTTTTGTAAAAAAACGTATTTATTTTTCAATATAATCTCCTTTGAGCTCTATACACTTTTCCCAGCGATGTTCAATAAGTTCGATACCCTTTTTATAATAAGAACTGTCTTGCTCCTCAAAATAGCCATTAACTGCCGACATCACTTCTTCATCGTTGGAAAATCTTTGACCACTGGGCCATTTTTTTAAGTTTGGAAGTAGCAATTCAAACTTTAATTCGTTAATTTTGGCCATTGCAATAACGGATTTGTGAGCTAGTGCATTGTCTTGATGAAACAACACTTTCTTCTTAACCAAATGCGGTCGTTTTTGCTTGATTTCATCGCTCAAACGTTGCAATAAGTTCGAATAATACTCGCCGTTGTTAGTTTTACCTTTTTCAAGATAGTCAATGAAAATTATCCCACACGCATCTCAAAAAACCGACGCCATAACCTTTCCTGCAGATGAAACGGTATTCGCCTTCTTTCGAGCCGGTTGTCCCTTTTGAGCCCATTGTTTTGATTGTTCTTTTGTGTCGGGTGTGAAGTGATGGACCCATGTTTTATCCATGGTTATGAAACGACTCAAAAATTCTTCTTTATTGCTGTGAAACTTCGCTAAACACTCAATTGAAACATCTTCACGACACTACTTTTGCTCGATTGTGAGCAATCGCGGCACCCATCCTGCACACAGCTTTTTCATGTCCAAATTTTCAGATATGCGATGAACCGCACTTTTTGAAATGCCTACTATGTCTGCTAGAATGCGCACTTTCAGTCGACGATCATTCAGTACGCTTTGTGAATTTTCTTCAAACAACTATCGCCATCTCTAAGTCAGGCCGGGTACCTCTGGGACCACCCTCGTACAATAAGGTTGACTAATAAGATTCTATATCAAAACAACAAAGATATCCTTATAACTACATCTGGCCGAATCAAATCACATATATGTTTATATTTCTGTTCATTGTACGATGTTTCGTCCAGCACGGTGACCTTTTTTAGGTACAATGACAATAATGACAGTACATTTTGTTTATCTGGCCTGCAGGTGACTGTTCATTTAATTTTCTACTCTTCGTTCCTATATAGTGTGTTGCGGTTATAGTTAGATTCCACGTTCCTATGCCGAGACATTGTGCCAATTTTAAGGAGGCACCGCGTAAAACAAAATAAGGCTATGATATGGGTATCTCGGCCTCTAGATAATATCAAAGTATACTCGTATGTGATAGGGGAGCGAAACAAAATAAGCATACTTGAAAATGTCCGTGGTATCACGATTTTTGTAAGATAACAGGCTTAAAAACTAGTACTACCGCCCATAATGTCATTAGTAAATGATTTATGTAATATTAATTTCATGCATACGTTGGCGAGCTTAACTGCTGGTACTAATTACAAATACTGTTGTAAATAATGTTTCATTTAATAGATTGGCATTTATTAGCATCTTGATTCCTTTCTTTATACGGACCTGATCCATAGTCTACTCCTTGTTAAAATAACTCGTGATTATATGAAGACACGTTCTAGAAGTCTGTTCATTATCACCATTGTAGCTGGTATAAACTATAAATCCTGAAGTTCGATTCCATATCAACGAGTATGAAATAACCTAAGGAGAGGCTAGCTCGTTTCTTTCTCTCACAAGGAAATTGGGATTCAGTTATGTGATGGCTGCCGTTCCATTCCAAATTTCAGGTGCACTTCGAAATCCTTTGGGTTGCGGCTTTCCGGCATCCCAAATTGATTTACTAAGTAGGCTACTCCTCCACGTCCACGTGGACCACTTCCCGCATGATAATCGAAAATGCCTTTACGATGTTTTCATTAGTACAATCTGTAGATATATTCTAAATAGTCAGTGATCAGTAAAACATTGTTTTTTACCACCTAGATATAAGAATTTGTTCAAGGTAACGACTGTGTCGCGGACTGCGAAAGAGGAATGTTTCTTTTGAGCATATCACTCAGTTCACTGTCTAGAAATGAAAACAAGTTTAGGTGGGGGAATCATTGTAAAAAAATACCGTGCAACCAAACACAATAAATCAAAATAAATTGTGAAGATGGGATATCAGCATGACCTCCAGAATGTCTACAATTTTGGTTAAATTGGAAAATTGAATTTGAATGCACTCCATAAAAGGTTTGTAGACTCAAGTTATTCATGGTCGATTACGATAAATCTCACAAAAGCAGGTCCGTTTCATTTCATTCACCTTTTAACAGTTCAGGTTACCAAACTGAACATTGAAATGATAAAATTTACGCTTGGATTCTGTACTTTAGCGTAAAGGTGGCAGTTGGAAATTTCAAGATGGAGGCCAGTCGCAATCTTGGAACATTTTTTAAATAGAAATCGGGATCACGCAATACTTCATATCAAAGCTCTCTATAAGAACTTTATAATCTTAGAACTGAATAGCTACCATTTAAAATGGCAGACTGGCAAGCTGTCTAATTTAAGAGTTTTTGTCAATTGAACTTGTTATATCTCAAGAACCGGTGATCAAAAGTCTAAGGGCATTATCGTCAGTAGTTCCTACAATTATTGTAAGACACCTTTATGGCTTCCTTGACTTTCATAGTCTTTTCTTTCCTTCAGAAAGGCTGGGGTATTCCTAGATTTCTACTACTCTACTATTGTAGCTGCGTTTTATTTTTGAACTGTAGGGAATTTCAGGCTGATATAACAGCTGATATCAATCAAAAGTATGAACAGTTTGATGCGATAGATAGTTGTAACATAACCTCAAAATAGAGCGCTGACTCGGGACAGTAGAAAACTAATAAATTCAAGGAGGTTATAAAGGCGTCCTGCAATTGTAGGAACGACTGACGATACGGTCCTAAAGTACAGGTATATGAATATCCATTAAGATGTTGAACATTCTTTTAAGTACATAATTTCAAAATGTATAATTTTTTTAAACGAAGTGTATCATATTTTAATGCACTTTCAGACCCTTCCAAAAGAAAGTGATTGATATAACATACCATAGCGCTCCGATGGTTGTTAGCGTTGTTATAAGCGATTGAAGCTTCAAAAATACTAAACAATGTCAGCCTGCCAATCCGCCGTTTTTAAAAACAGTGATTGAATAATTGAGAATTATAAAATACTCATGAAGATATTGAAAATTAATTATTACTTCGACCCTATTCCATTTAAAGAAAAAGTTCCGTCTTGAAATTTTCAACTGCCACTGCGATAAAATATAGTATTTGTGCATCAATTGCATCACCCTAAATTTCAGCTGAACCCGTTTAAGAAAAGTAGGAGGGGATCGCTTTTTGAAAAGCAAGGTATACTTTTGAATAACCTTCCCAATATGTTAGTATGACTAACGTATAACAATTTAGCTTATTTTTGATTTATAGACAAACCACCAACTCAGGAATTGCAAATAAAAATAATTTTTATATTTCTATATCAAAACATTGTATCTTTTGAATTAGGCAGCAGCAGTGGTCAGGCAGCAGCGGTGGCCGCAGTGGTAGGCTGTTCGGTCTCCTGATCAGTTGCGCGGGTTCGAATCCCATCCCGAGAGAAATTTTTCTCTTCGCTATGGATGTTGTGATTGTCCGTAGATGGTAGACGGTTTCTGACTGTCTAACGCGGAGGTACCACCGGGCGGATCTCGTAGGCGTCCCCCTTTCGCCTATATCCCTTCTATAGCCACACGGTACCCCATGAGTGTTTAGGCCTTCGTGACATTTTTTATTTCCAGGTATTGTAAATTATACATATGTTTGACTGCCTTTTGAGTATGTTATGTCCAGGGGGTGCTCAATAGCTACTTGACTATGGGCCGTGCTTCAGTGGTTATCGACTACTAATAATGACTGCCAAATCCTTAGCAGGGAAAGCCTAAAGATTTTTTATTCTTACCTCTGACAGCCTGTATATTTTTGTAATCCAGTTCTAAACTTTCCGATGTGATAATTTGTTGTCCGCAATGATCTGTTGCTTCATTAGTAAACATTATTCCTATTCAGCGAAAGGTGATAAAGCCCAAAATTCTGTACAAGTTGGTCATTGGCCTTTGACGATCTTGAAATGCTAGCATAGCACCTTTAATCCTAAGAGAAACCGACAAAAAAGCCAGGCGTTTCATAAATGAATTTCGACTCTTGAAATCAATTTCGCTGTAGCGTTGGCGCCATACATATATGATCGGGGCCAGTAAAAAGTTGAAGAGTCCTATAATGTAATATATGGTACAATATAGCATAAAAACGACTGAATTGCTCCCCGTAGATTTTGCATAAAAACCCTATTATCGACCAACTATATCGAATCAGGGAGTAATTATCTGAAACATTGAAAACGGGCATTGATGTTATATTTTGGAGACTAGAAGAAGTTTGAGAATATGAGGAGCCATCTCAGTACATTCCCATAAGAACGATCAGCTTGGCTTTTTATGCAGCTTCAATTAGGCATGGAAATTCTAAAGCCATGGTAGGGACGCAACTGACTCACCAAGGAAATAGATCGTTGTCCCATCACCTGCTTGGCATCTTCATCGTTCCTCTCTGTATCTGTTTCTGGCCTGCCGTTTCGCCTCCCTCCTCCACCCCCTAATGCTGATTGTGTGCTGAATCTTAATGAGCGCTCTGACCCGTTCATCCCCGACGCATTGCTGTGTTTTGGAGGGTCCAGGTATCCGGCAGTAATCTGCAACAAAAGTAATTTTCAGGCTCTATAAAGATAAATTAATACATAAGTATTTACACATTTATACGTAAAATAGGAGTGAGACTATGCGGTTTACGTACTGTATAGGGTGTCCCGCAATAAATTTACAAAGACGTAGAAGTATTTAGGCCTATCCAAATATTTAAATAAAAATACGGATATCTTTAAAAAATGCAACTTTGTAGTAGTTCACCCTATGTAATCCTGAACCTTTATAAAACTGTCTCGGAGCAATATTCTATTTATGAAAATTTGGATCATGACACACATGATACTGAAACGGCCGGCGTGATAACGATGACCTAAATAAATTTCAAACAGCTATTACATGTCGTGTACTTCAATCATAAAACGCTGTAATAGGGTAGAGACAAACAAACTTGCAGGTCCTTTACCTTGGAAACTACGAAAAAATTTGAGCCCATGGATACCTTTGTTCTACGTGTTGAGATTTGCAATATACTGGTCTTTGAAAATAGTAGCCGAAAGCCCTCACCCATAACGTTTCTCTGGGATATTTTCCATGGAGCACGATTAGTATAAAGATCTAAAATTATATTGGATTTCAAAGCTCTTGAAGAACCTTGAGGATCTTAATATTATATAGTTACTTCAAACGTCACTGAAACGTATGTTTAGGTTTGTACTACTACCCGAGTATGACACAGATAATCTACTTTATGTCAGCTTTTCAAATAAGTGAACGTTTCCATTCACGCAACGCCTCGAGTCGTAGTCACATAAAGTCTTTTTGCCAGATACTGTGCTACGATCGAACTTAATCTCAAGATCCAGACATGTTTTTTTAAGCATCTTCTAAGTCCTGATATTAAGAGCCGTTTTACACACAAAACAATTACTTCGAAAATTATGGTCATAATGATGCCGACAATGTTTGCTGTCGTATTACACGTTAAAGAATTCTTGTGAAAATTTTCGTGGTAAAAATATAAAACCCGTTCTATAGAATATGAGCGAGATTCGGCGCATTACTCCAATGCGCAGGCGTATCATATGAATTACTCGGAAATTTTGTTTGCTTGCGTCATACAGGTTATAGAGAAAATCTTCAATATTTTTCCATGCAAATTTTCGGCATAATTATGACCATAATTTTCGGAGTAATTCTCTTGTGTAAAACGGCTCTAATAGAGAGTTGAAGATCGCCAAACAGATGCCAAACAGATGCCAAACAGTCTGTCAAACAAGCTGAAGGAAATGGGTGATTTGTCGTGATGAGTTCTCATAACATGCTAAAAACAATGCCTCGACTTCAAAGCTTCTTCTATTTACAAACCTGTTCCGATTGCTTCCCCCGCTTACTGGAGCGTAGAGCAAAGTTTTTAGCATGGAAGCTCTATACCACTGCGCGGCTTTAAGTTTCCAGAACGCTCCCAATGAAATATAGAAATATGACAATGGTTCGTATTAATGGAAATTTTGAAACCTTCAGGCTGGTTGACGGAAGTTTATGTAGGAGATGGCTGAGCTGTGCTATTCACCAGCAGATTCAGTCGTCAGCAGAGGATATTCATCAACTAAACCAAGCCATAGTTCACGCAGCGCTAGCTCTTAGAAGCTAGATACAACTGAACGTAACAATCCTGTCCACCAGGACATGAAGGACACAAAGGAAATGAAAATGCGAATGAGGTAGCCCGACAGGGTGCGGCTAATCGCCTCAAAGGCCAGAGCCTTGCTGTGACGGGAACACGCACCAAACAGTCCATAAGAAATTGGACCAAGAAAAAGTCCCTAGAATGGTGGAACAGCCAATTGGGCACAGGCAGGCAAAAGAGTTCATCAAAGAACGAAGGCCCGTTTTTACAGAGGACCTACTCGGACTCAATAGGAAGGTCATAAGAGCCATAGTGGCAGAACAGGCCACATGCCGTTTCTGCAGAAGGCATTAAAAGATCCCAGTGCATCTCCTGTGTCACTGTGAAGGCCTGGAACCACAGGCCCATCAGCGGAAAGCAAGGCCCTGTGTCAAGGCTATGGAATCTGATCAAAGGGTCAAGCCTGGACACAGTGCTTCAGAAATTATATAGTGGGGTCACAATAGATCCACTTGGGACGCAGTGACGTTAAGGCTAGCTATCCAACCCCTCTAATCTGTAATCTCTAAGCTGCTCAAGATTTTTGCAAGCTTCAATTTAACTGGACCTCCTAATATGTGAATATGTAGGTTAGTTTCGGACAAATCCTAAAACTGAAAATGTAAGTTAGGATTTAATGCACTATTTCAACAGTAATTCCTTAAACCAAGTCATTTGGGCAAAGTAAAAATGCATATCTAGAATGTTAAGGACTCTCAAAAATCGATCTAGATTTAAACGAATACTTTAGACTCTCGTGATTTTCCTGGATTTACTAACCAAGAGCATCAAGTTGCTCTATTACATGCTTTATCACTCAAGCATAGGGTCTTCTATAAGGCAGCATGCAAAAATAATAACTAAACTGTTCATACTTATGAAGTAACTAAAGTGGTCAACAGAATCCACTCATCCTGTTTGAATAAACAGCTACAATCCGATAACTGTACTCCAAACTGAGTGAGGAAATTTATAAAAAACAAAAAATCCTAACACCGTCTTTTACGGCTCCATCACTTCTTCGATTCATCTTATTCCATAAACGCTTTAGCAACAAAGCTCGCTTAAGCCTATCGACAGTTGTTTCCTTATCAGGCATTTCCTGAAATCACGACGTGTAAAAACTAATACTTTAGCTACTCCTCTTTCGTACGGCATAAGCTGTCATTTAAAATTCACGACTCGGATCCTGTATAAGGAGAACCAGCTATCGATGCTCATAGGTGTCTCAGCCAATATTTCTTAAGGGGAGCTGAAAAAAATACGATTAGAATACTCGACCCTTTGGAAACTCGTTTAGTGTCATCTGCTTGGAGTATGATCTATTCATACTTGTCATAACATGCGGGAATGGTCTAGCCAATGATTCAACTCTTCTATAGGGTACCTCACACCATCGACGTCATTTTGTTTTTGCTAATAAAGTTTTGGGTAACACAGTTAAATTTTCTCTTCTATTATGTTGAGTGTTTATTATCCGAAGACTGTCTCTCTGCTTAGGTAAAGCGTCAAAATATCGGGGGCAGACAGAAGAAAAAGAAATGAGCTTCATTAAGTCGGTGAACATTTTGATGTAAGGGCCAAAACACAGTGGAAGCCGGTTTCCTGCTTACCGGCAACCAGCGCCGATCGACGCCTATAAGGTTCTATGATAATATCATGCTCTTGAGTTGGCCATAACACAGGCTCAGGCGTGTCGGCGCAAGCAGTCTGCGTCACCGGTTTTGCAGGAACGATTATTTAGTTCTTTTTCGCCAGTTGTCAGAGCAGGTCGATGTGGATTATGAATACAGACAAGTTAGTTAAGACTGTGGTAGTTACACCAGTTTTCAGTTAGAAGATGTTCAACTTTTTCCAGAATATAATTGAATGTTTCATGATTCATTCTGGTGTACTGAAAAAAGCGCACGGGGTCATCTTTCAACGCCTTGAAGAAAGGATGATATTCACCATAATGTACATTCTCACGATTTATGGGGTGAATATCAACTTTTTTCTAGTGATTATTTTAGTTACAAGGCTGTTCAATTCAACAAATTCAACTTCGGACGAGCTAGACCCGATGTTGACGCGAAGACTACGCTAGAACTGACAAGAGACCGGGTTTGACCAGCGCCGAAATACGATCGCCGCTGTTTGCCTGTAAGCAGGAAACTAGCTTCCTCTGTGTTTTCGCCCTAAGAAGGGACGTCGGAAATTTCAAGATGGCGGCTGGGCATCAACTTTAAACATTTTTTCAAATGGAATAAGTGGTCGTGATGATACCTGCTTTTGGAACCCACAGTCGGTCTTTATAACCAACCCAAAATAGGGAACTGGCAGACTATCAAAATTACCCGAAGTTATCTTTACGAAATATTCCGAACTAGATTTATCAACACCTTACAAATTCCGGCATGATATTCGAACACGATGGAGTGGATGGGAATATATCTTCACGGATGGTTCGAAGAAAGACAATTTAGCGGGATGTTCATTTTATCACAGCAACAATTCGTATCACCAAGAATTCAAGTTGCCACCTGAATGTTCGGTATACACAGCAGAACTGGTTGCGATCAACCAAGCTATTGAATACTGTTTCCAATTCCATGGAAATAAGAATTTTGTTATTTTTACCGACTGTAGAAGTGCTGTAACAAAATTGGGGAATTGTCACCCCACTGCAGATCTTAATCATCTAATTGCGAACATCATCAAGCGCATTCAGGAGCTGAATAGAATCGACAAAACTATAAACATAGTCTGGATCAAAAGCCACTCAGGTATAAAAGAAAACGAGATGGTAGATAATTTTGCAAAAAGAGCTACAACTAGAGGCGATTACGTTCCGGGCATGGAGATTCCTTTTACTGACGCTCATTTTCTGATCAGACAACGACTGAAGAATAAATGGAATAACCATTACAAAATCAATCCAACAGGAAGTTACCTGAAACGTATACAACAGACTCTTCGAAGCAGACCTTGGTTTCAAGGAATTACCAATCGTCCTTACATTAGAACCGTGAGCAGAATAAGAAGTGGTCATGTCCTAACGCCCCATCATAAATCAAGAATTGGATACGGAGATGATCCACTTTGCAGTTGTGGAAATATAGGAACCTTGCAACACTTAATATTAGAATGTACAAGTTCTAACAACGAAAATTCTGAATTGTATAAAATTCTAGCGAATCACCTTCCTTTGCCTCTAAATTTAGAATCAATTCTCAGTTTTGAGAACCAGCAAGTTTACGAACTTTTATACAAGCATTGTCGGAAAGTAGGCCTAACATTATAAAATGTAAATTACAGTAAGTTTGTTTGAAAGAATGACAAAAAGAAGAAAGTATTGAAAAAAAAAACAAAAAAAACAAAAAAGCGGATCAGTAAAAAAAAACAATCC